TTCAACACCTAGAGCTAATGGGATTTTGCACTTAGTAAACGCTATTTCCTATTTGTTATTATTATTATTATCAATCTACAGATTCTCCCAAACAAACATTCGACAAAGAGTCAAGGGGACATCAGAAGATAATAGAAAGATAATTATATGTTATTGAATCACACATAAAGGCAACCCTTGGAACGCTCAACAATCAAATCGCTATCCTAGAATCACAAAGTTGTATCTACTCACGACCTAATTTTGAGAAATTTGACGCTGGCAATCTTGAGTTTTACAATATGTCAAGCTTTTTCGAATGCAATTCTTCGAATATCTTGATATGGACTCCGAATAATATTACGACTTTGATAGAGCACATAGAACATCTGGTTTCGGACCTCAATGTCTTAGTGACTCAAAATGGTCCAAAATGTCACATGGAACTTTGTAATTCTAAAGTAGATAAATATCTGGACACATGGTGTCCTGCATCCAGTCTCATTAACAAAATCTTGCAAATAGACGTGACATCTTCTTAGTTATTTTCTTGTAGGGGTTGAATAAAAACCGTTAGAGTATGATGGGACGTTACTGTTGGATCAGTTTGATCTAATGGATTTGACACACAGAGAGAGTACGTTCATCGCAATCTTACGCTTATTTCCTTATCTCACCATATCTTTTATTTGACATCCAAACCGATGTCGCTTTATCTGTGCCCATTGCCTGTTACTGTATGTTCGTTTTCAGACTTGATTTTTCTGTTTCTCTTCCCCTCCATGAACATGCTAACGCTCTGTGACTATTTATTATTAATCTGTGCCTGTGAGACAGGCGTACTTTCAACTGGGCGGTGATTTACTTTTTCCTAATTCACTGCTGACAAATTTGTGTTTGTACTCTTAGAAAAAAAAATTATAACGTACACATGCGTTCCTGTTTGTGCATGAAAGAATACACAATGTGTTGTACTTGAAGCATGCTTGTATTTATGGGTGTAGCCTACATGGAATTGTTCGACTTTACTGAATGTGGAGAGGTGTCGGTTTTCGTTTACTATAAATATATTTCCGGGCACGTATGCAAACAAGCATGGCGGTTCCCTTACATTGTACCATGTATTAACAAACAAAACTTTTCATTAATGAAGATGATAAACCGTACTGTGTGTGGTTATGTTTGACATTGTTTGAGATTGCCACGGTATTGTTTTTGTACTTTGATACTCAGTGTGTCGACGACAAGTTGCAGACCCCCACGTCTTCCGAGAGATTCCATCGAAATGATTTACGGACATACATGTTGTTGACATTGAACGAACGTCTTCATCAGCACAGAGCAATGTGTACAGGGCTGTACACAAATAATATTGGACCAAAGGATTCCCATTTTGTCAAATTCCAGTTAGCCTACGAGCTCAGGTATAAATATCAAAACCAAAGAATAAAGAGAAAACAAATTGCGTATTGAGAACACATAGTCTCTATCCAAGAATTACAAAGCTCTATCTGCTCAGTACCTAGTTTTGAGAAAGTTGACGTTAACAAATTTGAGTTCCACATG